AAAATCGCATAACTTTGTCAAAAATGCCTAAATTTCAATTCGGAAAGCGGTTCTGAGTTAGTTGTTTGGCGCTTAACAATTCTGCATACCAAATTTTCCTTTTTAAGATATTAAAATATTTTTTTTAATTTTTGCACATTTTAACGATGCAACCCCTTAAATTTTTTTGAAAAAAATTAAAATGGTTCTTTTGCTTCCTGAGATGGCTAGAACGATTCGCCTGTTAATGCTGATCAAGAATATATATGATTTATAGGGTCGGAAATGGCTCCTTCACTGTAAAAAATGATATTTTCCTCAGCAAGATTCCTAAAATTGATATTTTTATATGATAATTTTTTTGTAAGGGATTTTTCTATATCATATTTTTTGGAACAACCAAAGTTTAAAAATCGCATAACTTTGTCAAAAATGCCTAAATTTCAATTCGGAAAGCGGTTCTGAGTTAGTTGTTTGGCGCTTAACAATTCTGCATACCAAATTTTCCTTTTTAAGATATTAAAATATTTTTTTTAATTTTTGCACATTTTAACGATGCATTAATTTTTTGAAAAAAATTAAAATGGTTCTTTGCTTCTGAGATGGCTAGAACGATTCGCCTGTTAATGCTGATCAAGAATATATATATTTATAGGGTCGGAAATGGCTCCTTCACTGTAAAAAATGATATTTTCCTCAGCAAGATTCCTAAAATTGATATTTTTATATGATAATTTTTTTGTAAGGGATTTTTCTATATCATATTTTTTGGAACAACCAAAGTTTAAAAATCGCATAACTTTGTCAAAAATGCCTAAATTTCAATTCGGAAAGCGGTTCTGAGTTAGTTGTTTGGCGCTTAACAATTCTGCATACCAAATTTTCCTTTTTAAGATATTAAAATATTTTTTTTAATTTTGCACATTTTAACGATGCAACCCCTTAAATTTTTTTGAAAAAAATTAAAATGGTTCTTTTGCTTCCTGAGATGGCTAGAACGATTCGCCTGTTAATGCTGATCAAGAATATATATGATTTATAGGGTCGGAAATGGCTCCTTCACTGTAAAAAATGATATTTTCCTCAGCAAGATTCCTAAAATTGATATTTTTATATGATAATTTTTTGTAAGGGATTTTTCTATATCATATTTTTTGGAACAACCAAAGTTTAAAAATCGCATAACTTTGTCAAAAATGCCTAAATTTCAATTCGGAAAGCGGTTCTGAGTTAGTTGTTTGGCGCTTAACAATTCTGCATACCAAATTTTCCTTTTTAAGATATTAAAATATTTTTTTTAATTTTTGCACATTTTAACGATGCAACCCCTTAAATTTTTTTGAAAAAAATTAAAATGGTTCTTTTGCTTCCTGAGATGGCTAGAACGATTCGCCTGTTAATGCTGATCAAGAATATATATGATTTATAGGGTCGGAAATGGCTCCTTCACTGTAAAAAATGATATTTTCCTCAGCAAGATTCCTAAAATTTTATTTTTATTGATAATTTATTTGTAAGGGATTTTTTATATCATATTTTTGGGAACAACCAAAGTTTAAAAATCGCATAACTTTGTCAAAAATGCCTAAATTTCAATTCGGAAAGCGGTTCTGAGTTAGTTGTTTGGCGCTTAACAATTCTGCATACCAAATTTTCCTTTTTAAGATATTAAAATATTTTTTTTAATTTTTGCACATTTTAACGATGCAACCCCTTAAATTTTTTGAAAAAAATTAAAATGGTTCTTTTGCTTCCTGAGATGGCTAGAACGATTCGCCTGTTAATGCTGATCAAGAATATATATGATTTATAGGGTCGGAAATGGCTCCTTCACTGTAAAAAATGATATTTTCCTCAGCAAGATTCCTAAAATTGATATTTTTATATGATAATTTTTTTGTAAGGGATTTTTCTATATCATATTTTTTGGAACAACCAAAGTTTAAAAATCGCATAACTTTGTCAAAAATGCCTAAATTTCAATTCGGAAAGCGGTTCTGGGTTAGTTGTTTGGCGCTTAACAATTCTGCATACCAAATTTTCCGTTTTAAGATATTAAAATATTTTTTTTAATTTTTGCACATTTTTTTTGAAAAAAATTAAAATGGTTCTTTTGCTTCCTGAGATGGCTAGAACGATTCGCCTGTTAATGCTGATCAAGAATATATATGATTTATAGGGTCGGAAATGGCTCCTTCACTGTAAAAAATGATATTTTCCTCAGCAAGATTCCTAAAATTTTTATTTTTATTTGATAATTTTTTTGTAAGGGATTTTTCTATATCATATTTTTTGGAACAACCAAAGTTTAAAAATCGCATAACTTTGTCAAAAATGCCTAAATTTCAATTCGGAAAGCGGTTCTGGGTTAGTTGTTTGGCGCTTAACAAATCTGCATACTTAATTTAATAATTTAACCTTTTAAGAAATCCTTTTTTTTAGATTTTGCACAATTTTATTAATGTAACCCCTTTTACTTTTTTTTTTTAAATAGGAAAAGTCTGTTGTGCTACCTGACATGGCCATAAAGATTCGCCTGTTAATTCTGATCAAGAATATGTATGATATATATATATAACACATCATTTTTGGTGGTCGCTGAGGCATCCCGTTACCAGGTCGCGTGTCGCCAGCTGCAGGAGCAGCAAATATGGCCATTTAATCCGCGGCCACAACAACGGAGCAAAACCTTCAAATTGGTTTAGGCCTAAGTGCCGCCTAAGTGGCCAGCAATCGGAAGAGTCCCTTCACACGCACTCACGGCACTCATCCCCTTTGTATAATTAAAACCGAAGATTAATTTAAGAAATAAATTGAAAAAGTCCAAATTTTAAAATTTCTTAACTAGGTCAAAAAAGAATTAATTCGAATTCGAAAACGATCTATATGTTAGTTTTGTATTTTTTGTATACTTAATTTTTACAGAATTTACAGAAAATTAAATTTTTGTCAATTATTGAACATTTAAACGATGTTACCCCCTATAAAATTGTGAAATTTCTAAAATAATTGCATAATTTTATTTTTTGACTGGACATGGATAAATCGATTCGGCTGTTTTTGCTGATCAAGAAAATATATAGTTTATAGGGTCGGAAATGATTCTTAACCATTTTATAACAAAAATAAAGATTTTGATTTATTTAAATTTAGCGGTTGTCTATATGGCGGGTTCCTACATGGCGGTTTTTTTACATGGCGGCTTTCTACATGGCGGCAACTGATCGTCTTTTTAAATTCGAAATGGGCGGTCAGTTGCCGCCATATAGAGCAACAGCAAAAATTGTTGTTGTTGTAAAAAAAATTTGTTGTTGTTTTTGTTAAAAAAAAAAAAATGTAATTTGTTGTACAATAATTTTTGTTGTTGTTGTAGGCTATAGCGACGCTTGAATTTGGTGCAAAACCATCGATTTGTGGTTTGAGCTACCAGGCGAACAGAAGGCAGCAGCAAGCAACTGAATTTTTGGTGGTCAAGAGCTGCCGGATCGATCGCATACGCCATCGATCCTGCAACTTTGGTCGAATAGGGTTGCCGGACCGACTGAAAATTTCATCGCTCTGGCAATGCTTGAATGCCTAATTGTGCCAGATCGATCGCATATGCCGTCGATCTGGCAACGCTTCACCGCCAAAAATGCAGTTGCTTGCTGCTGCCTTCTGTTCGCCTGGTACCTCAAACCAGAAATCGATGGTTTTGCACCAAATTGAAGCGTCGCTTTAGCCTACAACAACAACAACATTTATTGTACAACAAATTACAACAACCATTTTTTTTTTTAACAAAAACAACAACAACAATTTTTTTTACAACAACAACAATTTTTGCTGTTGCTCTAGATGGCGGCAACTGACCGGCCATTTCGAATTTAAAAAGACGATCAGTTGCCGCCATGTAAAAAAACCGCCATGTGAAAACCGCCAAATTTGAATAAATACAAAATCTTTATTTTTGTTATAAAATGGTTAAAAATCATTTCCGACCCTATAAACTATATATTTTCTTGATCAGCAAAAACACCCGAATCGATATATCGATGTCCGGTCAAAAAATAAAATTATGCAATTATTTTAGAAATTTCACAATTTTATAAGGGGTTACATCGTTTAAATGTTCAATAATTGACAAAAATTTAATTTTCTGTAAACTCTGTAAAAATTGAGTATATAGATTTATTACCCGCATAAAAACTAACATATAGATCGTTTCCGAATTGAAATTAATGCGTTTTTGATAAAGTTATTCGATTTTTAAGAATAAGGTCATTAAAATTTTTAATTTTAAATTAATCTTAGTTCAATTATCATATTTGTGATCATTTCTAATTTAATTTGTTGTGGTTTTGCTACCTTTTCTCTAGTGAATTTTGCTTGCTACTGGATAACGATAATTATCTCCGAAAATAACTACTCTTTGAGAGCTGAACTGAAGGAATATATATATATATTTAACCAAAATAATTATAATAGAGTTTTTAAAGCTCTGGAAGCTATCCGGGGAACGAGTTTATCATATGGTTCTTGGTATTTAGCACACACGATAGTTCGCAGTGTAGTTATATGAAAGTAGGTTGGCATGTCAGTCCAATATCGATAATCAGTGACAGTGACAGTGACAAAACTAAAATTAACTAAAGTTAGTAAATTTTTTTAATTTTGTTGGTATTGATTATAAAAAAGACAATGGTATCATGCTGAGGTATTCCTTGACTCTGGCTTTAGAGGCTTCTATAGAATCACTGGAAATGCTATAAAAATAATACTTTAAAAATTGAAATTTTTGTATTCGAATTGAATTATTTTAAATATTGCTTCATAACTATAAATTATTCTGGCGTTTCTTCCAAATTTATATTGTACAGCAACTGTTAATCTAAGTAGAATAGATAAATTTTTTAAAATTTAAAATGAAAAACATAAAAATTATCGATATTGAAAATATTTCTTGCAACTTCAATACTATGGATGTTTCATCGGTATTTTTTCCCAGCTCTAGCTTGTTGTTTGCTTGTATGTGTGTGGCGTGTGTGTGCGGTGGCGTCGATGTCTTCGCCGTAGGAATTTTTTGTGCACTTTTGCTGAATGAAAACGCGTTTGTGACTCTTAAAACTTAAAACCAAGCAGTTTAAATGCTTTGCCACTCTGGCTGTCAGTTGATTAACGCTTTGAAGACACCAATTCGTTAATTTGATTTGATCTTCTAGTCGAGTTCGGTCGACATTGTGAGTGATTATTTTGTTGTTTTTTTTTTTTTTGTGTGACAAAAAAGCGGCAAAATCGCTTGCTTTTTTGTGACGATTGTTTATGGAAGAAATGGAGCTGTTTGACATGGTCAAGGCAGCACCGCCACCGCGGACAATCCGGGAATCGGAGCGCACATCGGCGCCTCAAACCATAGACCAGAATTCAACGGATGTAATAGGTTTGTGCCATCAATTTGTGCCCCCAAACATATACGTTTTGCTGAAATTCCGCATGACTCTCTTTCCCCCTCTCCAACCAAGCAGTCATAGAAGCTGACGATGACGGTGACCTCCTGGAGAGCGTGAATATAGGTGACGACGAGGGAGACGTCGAGCAGAATGAAGACAATAGCCAGGGAAAGAAATCTGCCAAAACCCAGATTGTTTCTCCTCCTTTGGCCAAGCCAAGGGGTAAGAAATCATCAAATAAGACACCGAAGAACTTAAAAAAGCAAGATACAAATAAGATTATTGCTTTGGAGATAGACTCCGACGAAGATAATGAAAATACTTTGGTGCAGCACAACGCCGACGATATGAAAACTCCGGAAAATGTTCCCCGGAGAGCGAAGTTGTTTGCGAGTCTCAGTGATTCGGATGATTCTTTAGATGGCTACTCAAAGACCTTACCAACACCCACCAAAACCAAGGCGCAGCAAAAGATGTTTAGTGATTCGCCAGATCAGTCTTCATCGCGCATTAATGTCGATCAATTCTGTGCCCGTGAATTCTGTATTCGCGTCAAGCGTTTAACTCAGGCGGAGATTAATTCTGCCTCCGATTCGGTGGCCAAATCAAAATTTGCCTCGCCTGTGGCGCGTAAGCGAGGCAGACCGCGCAAGAACAACGACGACGACAAGAAATCTCCGTCTCTGGCAAAGAAACTAAAGATTTTACCATCACCCAAGATCCACATTAAAGTTCCTCTGCAGTCTGGGGCCCAAAAGAGAGCTCTAGCCAATCTGGCACGCACTCACACGCCGCCGCCCATCTTGTCTAGCCGACCCAAGCCGAAGCCCAAGACGAAGACCAAGACCAAGCTCAAGGCACTCCACGCCACCCCGTCGATGATCAAATCGTATGGAAAGCGATTCTTTAGTTGCGTGGTTAAAATCAAGAGACTGAAGTGGCCAAGCAGTAACCCACGTTTCGGAGGCGGCCGTAAGGGGCGTCCCAGACGCTCTAACCTTTCGGTCTCCTTCAACGAATCCGTCGAGATATTGGGCAGCAACGAGGGCGGCTCCCGTCGCTCCACATTCGGTACCATCTCATCCAAGTCGCCGAAGCCCACTCGCTTGCAGCGCGTAGATGCCACGGGCAATGTTCTGGAGGATATAGCTCTCACTTCGAATATGATGCTTACAGGGAACTCGCCCTCAGTGGCCACATCTGCCGCATCCGGTACGCGGGGCAGGGGTAAGCGTCGCTCTTGCAACGGATCGCCGCAACTTAAACGTCCGCACCAAAGACTACCGCTGTCCGGCCTGGCCAGAATGCGCTTGGACGATGCACCGCAGAATGATGACAATGATGATGATGAAGAGTACATAGGTGGGTAAAAGGACAAAGTATTCAAGACTGACTGCAATCAAGAGTACAATTTACATCAATTTCATATGTATATTTCATATAACTGCACTGTTGAGATAATAAAATGCATTTCAAAATTACCATATATAGACTCTGTGGAATATCCACTGTTATAAAAATTGATTTCCATGCAAATTGATTATAATTATTACCTCCGAAGTAAATCACAATCGTTAGCCTGTAGTTTCCTGAAGTATAATTAAGTAAAATGTCAAGATTCCGTTCGGAAAGAGATCGCTCTTTCAAGTATTTTGTCCCTCCATTTTTGGGAGTAGAGCTGAAAGAATATGCGGATAGAGAAATGGATTACCAATCTTTACCCTGTCCCCTGGTAGTTTTCATATAATGGTAAGCAAGTTGAGTTTATAAATACTATAAATTCCATGAAATACACATAATAAACATTTTGCTAATTCTACAATTTGTCTATTTGCTTTATTTTACAATCAAATGGAAAACCACAGTGCCCAATGAGCTGCCGGGCATGCAAAGACCTGGAACACCAACTCCGAAAAAGAAGAAAGTATCATATACCACGACCATAAGCGACGATGAGGATGAGAAGGTGCCCACTAAAAAGTCCAAGGACGTCAATTCTACAAAAAAGGAACCAAAACTAAACCGAACCCGAAAAAGATAGATAAGTCCACATCACTGAAAGAAAGTGTCCTACAAAATGTAATACTACAAAGTAAATCCGATGAGATTGTAAAGGAGAACGAAGAGAAGGAAGAACCTGTGGATGTTGTTGGTGAAGAAGCTCAAGTTGCGGGAACAGAAGTTGAAAAAGTAGCAGAGGTTGTTGCTACTATAAACGAAGAAAAAGACGTCGAAGAATCGGAAAAGCAAAAACCACTTGATATGGCAGAAGACAATCCACAGAAAGCTGAAGAAACGACGATGGAAACTGAAACGGATGCTGAAGAGAAACTCGTAGAGGAAAATGGTGAAAAGAATCCTGAAACGGAATCGGATCCAAGGGTTGAGGAAAATGGTGATAAGAATCCAGAAGAGGAATCAAAACCTAGTGATGAGGAAAATTGTGAAAAAAATCCTGAGGAAGAATCGAAGGAAAATAGCGAACAAACCGCTGCGGAGGCAGACAAATCCCTGGATATGTCACCTTTGAAATTAGAGGAAACCAGCAGCCAGGATAGCAATAGTAAAGCGGAGCAAAAGAAGGTTGACGACGTTGAGGACTTTAGGGAGTTGGATACACCAACATCTCAGCAGCTGCCGCCCGCGACTGAGGAAACTCCGGAGGATGTACTTGAAATTCAGACGTCCCTTGAAGATGTCCGACAGCTGCACACACCATTCTCATCTCAGCAGAGCACGCCCCAGGCGCGCAAGCCCGTTCGCCAGGATTCTGCGGATTCGGATTGCAGCTTCAAGTCGGCCCATGAGCCAAACAAGGATATTTTGCTAGGCAATGTAAATGCTGAAGGAGATAAGCAGAAGGAGGCGGCCGGCGAGGAGGAAGACGCGACGGATGCGGCAGCAGGAGAGGATAAATCCGAAATCGATCCTGCCACCATCCCCGCCGTGTTGACGACGCCACCGCCCTCGACTCCAAGAACTGTCAATGGCTGCGATCCAGTTACCAGCGATGGATCCAGCATATCGGCGTTTTACTCGCCCATTGAGGCCATGCCCACTCTGGATGATGAGGTCCTTGGCCAGTTAGTCGGTGAGTTGGAGGAGTGTCCTCCCTATTTCTTTATTCGTATTTTATTTCATTTATATTTCTACTTTCAGAGCCCGACTTTCAGTTAAACTCCAGCCGCCATGCCATATCTAGGGGAACTCTGGACGATATAATGACAGCGCTGGAATCTTAGGACCCACTCATGAAGAGACTCAACCAAGCATACACAAAAAGGTGATCACAGATGAAGACGAAACTGGCCTGCACGCGGGATTACTTTATATGGATTACACTTTACTTTTTTTTATTTGTTGCCGATTTTAAGCCAAGAAAAGTGGGTGGTAAATAGCCTCCATGTTTTTAGTTTTGAATCGGAGCTAAAGAAACTGATTTCCGCTCAAGTCATGTTATGAAAAACCTTAATTTTATATTAATTCTTTTAAAATACTTAATTTGTCCTGTATACATTAGCTTGTAACGAAGTGCTAAGCTTAGCTAAAGAAGCAGCCAGCCAGGATCTAGTCGGCTAATCGGACGAAAAACCAACAAAACTCACACAGGCAGTCAAATTTACAATTTAGCGTAAATTGAGTTGCGTTTGAATAAGTTAAGTGAAGAACTAGTTAAGCATAAAAGTGATTTATGCGAAAATTTAATTGTATACCCAAATGAATCGTTATGTTAGTTGTATGCCTAAAGAAGGACATTGTTTTGATTTCTTCAAATCTATATTAGTATTTAGGTTTTTTTTTTCAAAAAGAGAATAAACTTAATAGAATTTATAGTATACATATATGCATATATATCTCATGAATATATATGTTGTATATTTATATATAAACGGAAACATCTTAATTTAGTTGTAAATTTAATGTATCAATGAGAAAAGTAATACATATGTGTAAATGTATAAAAGAAAAAAAAAAACAAAAAAATACAAATGGACAAAATATAATACGAAAGGCGTTCTTTTTTGGGCGGGAAAAAGGGAGTGAAAGGGGGAGTTCAAGGACTTTTTAGAACTGGTTGGTTGAAGGCTAGGTATATTACAGCTTGACCCAAACCATCAAGGACAAAATTGGCAAAGACCAAAGCAAAATAGAAGGACTATATATGTATATGTAAGATAATAAATTTAAATCCTCTGAAAGTTGCAATCTTGTTAATGGAAATTTTAATTATACAAAGGAAGCAAAAAAAGGGAATATACATTTGGCGGGACAGCTTTTCAAAGGATGGGAAAGAAGTTGCCACATTTTTTCCATTTCTGTAAAACTCCGCCATGTTGCCATATTATCAACATGCCAATTTGTTCTTTGGCGGATTAATTTTGAATACATATGTATATGTGCATATAATCTTAACTATTTGCTTATATTTATTTATGGATATTTGTATGTATCTTTAAAAATGTCTAAATCCGCAAAGAAGGTAAAACAACATATAGAAAACTATAATAAAAAATATGTTGCTTGTTTTCGTGACTAAAATTAAATTAAAAGGAAACGTTCTTAATATTTGTAGGGAATAGAATGTATTATTTGACCACAGTATATACGTATCCAATTCAAACTTGAACCTTTCTAAATAATGTAATTTTTACTTTTTAGTTTAGCGTGTGACGCAGGCGCAATGACAATTCAGCCTGGTAAAAAAATATGGAGTTACTGTTACTGATATAACAATTTGTGATAATTAAAATAAGCATTAACAAGAATTAAATTACGAATAGTTACTTATTCTGCACTCTGTTAAAGGTATTTAGATTTAAATATGCCCGAAACAATGCCTAAAAAATATGTTAAATACCAATTTCTGTTGCACTTTAGTTATGTTTATGTTTTATTAAATATAACTATAAACTTTTATAACTATAAAACTGCTTAAAATAAATATATAAACAAATATAATATGTATTAAACAGTTTTATAGTCTTATTTCGAATCAATAAGCATTTAAATATTAAATAATAAACCAAATCGACTGAATTGTAATTGTTTAATTCAATTATTTCACCAAATTCCGAAATATATCTCTTAATAGATTTTCTACTTATATTAATTGTCTTATAAATACAATTATCAATTAGGAGAATTTTCCCTTCAGCTTTCCAGCAACGTTGCCAGACCACTGCAACCAGAGTGGCCACCCTGCCGTGCGGAAATGGCTGCTTGGAGGCATGAGCGACCGCAGTCACAACAGTCGCAACTTTGACTTGTTGTTTGGCGGTCGTTCTCCCTCCGGCTGGCTCCTGGGACCTGTGTGTTGGCGGTATCAGGTCGTTTGGCGCGTGTGCGATTTAATTTTGAATAATTTTGCCGAATTGTCGTGGGCCGGGAAATGTTTGACTCGCAGACGCAAAGAGGGCTCGGTCCCTAAAGCCCCAAATGCAATATGAAAATTTAATTGTAATTATATTAAAAATAAAAAGTGAATAGAAACGAGCGTGAATTGCGATTGATAGAGAAATGCCCATCAAGAAGGTGACCGTGAAGGAGTACGACTCCCAGGATGAGGCCAGCACCGAGCTGCTGGAGAAGCTCAAGCACCTGGACCGCCGTGTGGATGCCGCCGAGGCGGGGGGCATGGCCGGCGGACGGAGGCGGAACACCGCCTGCTGGCAGTCGGTCAAGTGGAAGTCGGCCCTCAATCACATCGGATTGCTCGTCTCGCTGTCCATCTACTGCGGCGTGGGCGGCCTGGTAAAAACGTGTTATCCACTAGACCCGAACATAACTAAACAAATATTTAAATATTTCTGATACTATTATTTTTTCCCCCGTCTTCGGTCTTCGATCTTTTTTATATTTATAAAGTTTTTTTTTTTGTTTTTGTGGCTGCGCCGAACATGCAAAATGATTTGTTTGTTGGCGAGCGTTAGATTAGTTGAGGGAGAAAAAAAGATAGCAGAATACACACATAAGTACAGTGCACAATCACAAAAAAATAAGCTAACTTTGGGCAACCAAAATTTGATCATCAAAATTATCATAACTTAGCCAAAAATTTATTCATTTTAATTCGGAAAGCTACTCAATGCTAGTTTTTATTAGGTTAACAAATCTGTATAAAAAGTTTAAGGTTTCAAATTTTTAAATTTTTTTATGAATTTTTGACAATTTTGACGATGTAACCTCTTAAAAAATTTTGCAAATTTTTGAAAAAAAAAATAATTTCAATTTCAGACATAACTAGATCGATTCGGCTTTTAATGCTGATCAATAATATACATGATTTATTTGGTTGGAATTTCCACTTTTCTTAACTTTTTTTTAACCTTCTTACTGAAATTATAATAACCCAATAGGGATAAAAATCTTTTCAATGTTTTTATAACAAAAGAAGATAAATTACCATTTTAAAAAAATCTAAATTAATTCATAGGTAAATAAAAAACATTTCCCCATTATTTTAATGAAATTTAAAATGTAAGCAATTTATAAAGGAATTATCTTCATTATATTGAAAGGTAATTAAAGGATATTTTACCTTAAAGTCATCTTCATTTTAAAAGTCTAAATTAAATGGTAAATAAATACATTTCATTTCCTTTTTTTAATTTTATGAAACTCTAAAAGTGGAAACAATTTTTATTAAATAACAATTTTAATTGAAAGTAAAGAAATAAAATATTATACTCCAACCATAAGGTTATATAAAATTTATGCTCTAAAGTAATCAACATTACCATTTTAAAATTCAAAATAAAATAGTAAATAAATAAAATACACTTCCAAACCATTTTTTAAGCCAAATTGATAGTTTTAAATTCCGAATTCTATGAAATATACATTTACTTTTCTTTCTAAATAATTAATACAATTATAATTAGCTTATTAGTTTACCTTTTGAGAATGTTTACTGTACAGGAATAAAAATAAAAACCAAAGCAAACACAACACAAATGTATTGCAGTGAAAATACTAAAAATTAGCTCAAAAATTAAGTCATAAAACTATTTTGTACATTTAAGTGCACCGCCTTGCACCCCCTGCATTTTTTTCTTTCCTAATTGCAATTGCACATCCAGACGGAAAATATGGAAGGGTGGCTAAGGATGGGGATGTAGATGGGAGGAGGGGTTGGGGTGCCAGAGCATCTGCATCATGCGCTGGAGGAGGAGGAGGAGGATGAGGCGGAGGTGGAGGTGGAACCATGTGTGACCGTGGGAACGATAGAGGGTCCCAGGGATTTGGCCGAGCGACGTTAGGCCTTGTCTAAACATTTACAATTTCGCCAATGACGTCGTCGTTTTTAGCCAAAAAAAAAAAACCAAAAAAAAAAACCAAAACCAAATTGCAAATTAGGAGAAAAAAAGAATATATATATATATATGTATATATATTCATAACACCGCACACTGGCCTAGTCGGAATTTGGAATTGATGCCGTCAGTTGTCCTTCTGGTTGCAAAATAGCTGCAGCTCCGATGCTAGGAGGAGGTGCCTCTAATTGATGTGTCCCACGATTTGACATATGGTCAAGTGTCGTGACGGCAAGGTATTTGTTATATAGTAGTGCCTCTCAATTTCCTCAGGCACTAACAATTACCACTGGGAATCGTAGACACAAGACACCCACACTTAATACCTTCAGAGCCTAGAGTCTAGAGGTGTAGGCGGGCATGGGATAAAAAAAAGCCCATTAATGGTCTCGAAAAAATTACTAAATGGCTGATATCAGACTTAAAGAAGTCAATTTCGAATTGGATATACAATTTCAGTTTTAAATAGCCTTTAATAATTACTAATTAGCAGATTCTTGGCTTGCTTGTATCTAATATCTTTAAAATGCAATGTATAGATTATATTAAAACCTTTCAGTGCTCTCTAGATCTGAAAGCTGGAGATACTGAGTTATCTATACAAGGTTTATCTATTAATAACATTGTTTGGATTGAACATAAAATTATAATACGACAGAATTTAAACATTAAATAAGCAGCTCCCATTCTACACTTTACTTTACTATTCTTCATTATTCCTTACGTTAGAAATACCTTATGAATTTAATTGTAAGTTAGTTTTTAAATCAAAGTTTTACCATATATATTTTTCATTATACTAATGCTTTTATAATAACTAAAATAGTAAAGTTCAGGAAATTGTAAGGCATTTAAAATGTTGCATCTTTATTTTTTATAATACACAGAGACTTGTTTTATTTATTATAATATTAATTGACTTATAAATTATACCTTCTAACAAATAATATAATAAATTATATGCCAGGTAGTGGAGATTATAGTAATAAAAATGTGAGTTAATTTTATTATAGGATTTATTTAATGCTCATTGCTTTTTGATAAACCTAAATGTGAGAGCTTTATGTATGTTGTGAAGAAATATATAATTAAATACATATATTCTTATGTCTTATGGCATGTAATATTAATAACAGAATGAGTGGAGAAAAATAATAATAAATTGGAATATTAAAGAAATGTTTTATGGATATCCATTTGCTTAATGATATTAAATGTTACTACATAAAGTATTGATGATGCTTGCACATTGAATTACTGAGCAGGTTAAGTTAAAATATTAGAGGAATTGTACATAAGTTTCTCTGCGATTTTCTTAAGTATTTAATTTTAATTGCCCAATTAAAAGTAATTTTAGCACTCTAAGTTTCGAAGGACGGAACCTATGTAGCTCTTGAATAGTGCCAATCATGATTTATGTTTATTTCCATAGACTTGCCTTGGCAACCGAATGATTCATAAGATGCCTTTAAATTCCTGGATGGATATTTCTGGACTACATCATATTGTCTTCCCCGACTCGCCCCTTTATCTCCCCTCGACATAATGCCAACCCTATCAACACCTCATTGGATATATATATCTGGCCATTTGCGCAGATTTCTGGCAACAAAAGCCATGCATTAATCAGGCCACACATTCGCATTCATTTCGATGTTCCCAAGAATCGTTCCTCCCTCCCCCCGCCTTGATCTGGACGGGATTTCTCTGACCCTTCAATCTCTTTTGGCCACAAAACACACACTCATGCCACACCACATGTTGGCCAATTATGCGAACTTCTCACTTAAACGGCGCATCAAATTCGTTTCAAATTTTCATTGGCAAGAAGATTCCATTTTCAGGGGGCCTTCATCAAACACAAAATCTTTTTTTATCCTCCATAGACTCAAAGCGGAAAATTTGTAATTTTATTGTATTTAAAGTTTGCTATATAGGCTTTTGGGATATGCAAGTTTTTAAATATATTGTATGTAACTATAGTAATCATATTAAAAATTCTCTTCAGGCCCTTTTCTTTGTTGTTTAAGTTTAATAATAATAATTTAATATTTTCATGCTCAAATAATTATTTATATAAAGTCCCCTGTGTAATTTTTTGAGAAATCTTGCAGTAGTCTTTATTATATATTTTTATAAGTAATCTATTCAAGCATAGTTCAAGGAATTTAAATAAAAAGTCTGACTCTCTCATGGATTACATGATTTTTGATTTGCAATTTAATTTTTTCAATACCATTTTGTGTTCCCTTAACCCTTGTGCTCACTCTTTAACCCACCTCTAAATGTCCAGCTGCTGCCAAGTGAAGCGGAAATGAAACTTGAAACATGAACGGAACTGTCCATATCAGCATATCACATGACATTTCAAGTTTTCTATTTTTCTACCGTTTTTCTACAGATTTTCTTCCTTTTGAATACCCTGTATTCATAGGATATAATGTTTTATAGTTTGTTTGTGGATTAAATAAATAAGGGAATAAAATAAATAAAGTTTAGAACAGAAAAGGGAAGACCATATAAGTAAAATAATATATTAAAACCAGGGTGAACCGAATGAAATAATCTTGTAATCTGACTACTGGGTATCTCATAGTCTAGTAAATCTCATCTTTAGCTTTCTCCCATTTTTTTTTGCTGCTGCGGAAATCAGTTTGTGTCACTTGACCAGCGACAAAAAACTTTTGGAACTCCTTCCGCATTTTTCTGAGATTCGTTTTAAGAAAAGTTTGCTGGCAAAATAAAAGACTAAATAGTTTTCCTATAAACGGACAGACGGACTAGATTGATTTCGCTAATTATACTGATCAGCAAACACTTCATATATGTATTCACTTTAAATTAAATAAACTTCAAGGGCATAAATGAAAAAGTTAGAAGTATTTAAACTCCCAACTTTCTATACAGAGCTCACCGGCTCTCCATGTCGTCACCTTTTTGTTACTTTTTATTTAAACAAAAAAAGACTAAACTCAAGATAAACCGCTTTAAGTTGAAATCAATTTGGGTTGAGAGCATAAAACACAAAGTTGTAATTGCTTTTGTTGACGAACTTGCCATGTCGGAATTTGGCATTTATCTATTTTATGGTCTGTTGTCGTTTCCTCTTCAAAGGCCGCAATGTCACGGGCAAGTATATTTATTAATTAAGCCAAGCCAACCCCCCTACTACCCAGGGGAGTCGAAAAAAAGGGGGGCAACAGCTCAATTTAGGGGAAGTACAGCCTCGCTTTCCCATATGGCCAGTAAAAGGAAGGATGTGTGGAGTGGCTATAAATCATTTTAATTAGCATTTTGTAGCATACTTGAGGGCGTCATCGATTCACTTCACTCATGTGTGCGTGTGTTTTCCCCCCATTTCCACCATTTTCCCTAAGCTTGGGTGAAAAATTTCACTTTGTCAAAAGTTGTCCAAGGGTCCAAGAGAATTAAGCTGTT